ATGAAATATGTATAAAAATAGTCAGTTTATAAATATTAAATATTATCGCTAAAGACTATAAATATAATATTGATTTAACAGAACTAGTTTGATGTTAGAAAAATAGTTTTAAATTAAATACATTCCAGCTATAACCTTTATATTTTTAAAATCATATTATACAAATTCCTTCAAGAGTTTCATCGTTCATATTGTAATAATACTCTTATTGAATGCAATTTGTACTGTAATGAATTTTGGAAAAAGAATTTTTAATTTCTTTTTTGTCAATAATATGTAACGTAATTTAAAAAATGTGTAATAGAAAGTGATATCTAATTTTTAAAGGTACGTGTAGTTTCGCAATAATTAATGAATTTCAAATGAAATTAGAATCATTAAGTGTTATAATTTTATAAAAGTGTTTAATCTATCTATAAATATACAACGATACAATCAGTATTATATTAAAATAATGCAGTAGGTATGTACATTTTAATTGAAATGTTGTTAGAACTTGTTTTGAATTTTTCTTAAAAACTATAATTAAATCAACCTAGCTAACAATGGACACAGTGCCTCATTATCTCATATTTCGAAGTACAAATGTACATATATGTCTTAATAAAATTACTGATATTACAAATTTTTCAAGAAGCTTAAAATTCAAACAAAGTAAAGTATGAGATAGTTATGCACTTAAAATTTCTCAAAAAAATATGTATAATTTAAATATATTTTATTTCTTTTATTGAATGAATTAATATTTTAAATACCAATCTTGTAACTTTCAATCTTATTCTAACAAGACTTTAATGTTAAATTAATGAATGTAAGTGTATAAATGAAATGTGTAGAGAGTAAATTTTAAGTATTTGATTTTGTAACAGTAGTTGAAGTTCTATTTTTCTATAGCTATAGAAATGTTATAACATAAGTAAAAGTGAATTCACGTGCCAAAGAAATATGTGTATTAGTGTACTTTTATGAATGTTATTCAAAAAGGGGTAGAGGAGTATAAGAATTTTAAAGACTTGTCTAAAATTTTTTATTTTCCAGTTCCATGAACATTAATATAAAAATTTTACTTATTTCAGTTTCTAAATCAATGAAAAAGCAAATACATTAATGTCAATTGTTTAGAAGCATTGAATAATTTATTCATAAAATATCACACTTCATTTTTCTTGTGTGATAAAGTACACTGTCACTTATTCATTTTTAATATATTTCATATTATTTATAAATAAAATATATTCAAATATTTCTGTTACTTACACATAAAAATGTATACCCAGATTTCAATGTCTTTGCAAGAAAATAGACTAAATATTATAAAAAAATCAAAGTAATGTCCTTGTCTCTATATATTTCATGCTGTGACAAGTGTGAAGTTTTATTATTGCATATATGTGCATGAAACTAGGATAGTGTCATAAAAATAAACTAAATATGAATATAATAGATACAGGTAAATTTATATTATCATACATGAAATTTTTTTCTAGTTGTTTGTAAATTTGTAATTAAAAGTGTGAGTAATA